TCTTGAGGCAAAACCTCTCTACCCCGACAACGTTTGGATGGAATGGAAATCGATTTAATCGACAAAATTGAGCATTCAATAACTTTCAAAGTTCCAATTTTAATCAGAGGTCTGCATCGAACCCTCAAAACTATAGTAAGGAGCAGCAGAGGTATCAGCAATATGCTCCACCGACATCATCAAACGAAGTTCCCTCAATACTAACGGGACAACCAGGATCATTTTCTAACCCTACATGGAACAAGCCTAGTAGGTATATACCGATGGAGACACCCAATATGCCTGATGGTGGTGCAAGAAGACCACTTCGTTGTTTCTGTTGCAGACAGATTGGTCATTATGCCAATGAATGTCCCAATCCTAGAGCTAGTGACAATTATGCACCAATTTGTGGGAATTGCAAGTAGTCGGGGCATACGTATCAGCAATGTAATGCTCCGTTCAATTTCAATAATCGGGATCAACATATTCAAAGTCAAGGAAAAATTGAGGAGATAAATCGAGGTCCTCAAGATTCTCTGATAAATTGGGTAGAATGTATCCAAGCCGTTCTTACCCGAAGTCAACAAAAGGGAAAAGGACCAATTCAACATCTGGATAATCCCGATGCGAAAGACCAATTTGACCCAATAAGGGGACCATCCAATCCAGGTCCTATTACGAGTTTTGTACCCAATATGAGACCTGATTTGATGGCACAATCCAATGAGGTCCCAATTATAGAGGCTTCAGTTCTATTCCAAGCAGTTCCAATCTCTACGCAATTTCAAGAAATGTCCTATCCGTTGAAAGATCCTCTCGGGGGTAAGAATTCCAAGGAAGCCCCGGCTGCTGTTTCAATTCCGTGTCCAGGGCGGAAGAATATCTTATCTCACAAAGTTAAACTCAAACCAATAAAAAGAAAGAGGGTATTGGAAATTATCCTAAATATGGGACCCTATGATATTTTGAAGGATCTGGATGCTATTTGGCCTTCTATTTTTATGAAATAACTTCTACCGGTCGCACCAGAGTATCGTTCTACATTGAATTTATTGTTAACACGGCATAGGCATCGTAATAAAGAAGTTTGTAAAGTCAGTTTAAACCCTGACCCCGGTGCACCTACCATCGATGTTTCGATTGATGGTGTTATGATCTCGGGAGTTCAGGTGGATGGTGGTTCCAGCGTCAATTTAATGAACACTGATACAATAGATGCTTTAGATTTGGAATACTTAGTACCTACGACATTGGTATTACAGATGGCAAATCATAGCCGGGTTAAACCAATGGATATTTTATGGAGTGTTCAAACTATGATTGTCGGTATTGCATATGAAATCAACTATATTGTCTTTTGATTACAACGTTTGACTTTATTGTATCCAATTTTATTGGGACGACCCTAGTTTTATCAAACAAAGGCCAAGAACAATCGGGATCAGGGTACTTTGACAATTGGCAAGGGCAAAGACAAAATGGTGTTACAAATGTACCTAATACACTATAACGGGGAGTCTCAATTGCCAGCATCTGAATTAATGTCGGACAATAAGCTTAGCTCCGATGATAACGCAGTAGCACCAATTACAGAGGCGCCCGTGGAAGCAACACTACACTTTGGAGTGGTGTATCAATGTGGAGGTCCGGGGGAGTACTTGATATACCTGACGGACTCAAAAAACTCAGATTATGTTAGTACTGATTGGACGACCAAGTATGATGAATACCATGTTAGTGCCTTGGACACATGATTCAGTACTTCGTACATGTTGAACTTATCGACTGACTTTAAACCAACGCGGGGATTGAAACAGAATATTACCGTTGCATCTTTATGTCAAACTATCAACTTGGCGACCACAACAAAACCTCGGACAATTAAGGTCTACGAAGGTATTAAGGAACAAGAATTGACCTGCTGGACCTAATTTTTCTTGCATCATAAATCTGCTTTTGCTTGGACTTATGATGATTTAAAAGGTATTCCCGCTGAAGTTTGTGAGCATCATATCATTTTAGAAGAAAACGCTAACCGGTCTGGTAGAGGTAACACCAGATTAACCCAAAATATTCCCTTTTAGTGAAAGAGGAATTAGATAAACTTCTCGACATGGATTTTATTTATCCTATTCCGCATAGTGCATGGGTGTCGCCAATCGTGATGGTATCGAAAAAGAATGGAAAAATCCAAATTTGTCAAGATTTCTTGAAATTTAATACGGCCACCAAGAAAGATTACTTCCCATTACCTTTCACAGACAGTATGGATAACATATTGTCATTATCACCAAGTAGTAAAAGAATAGGAGTGGGGCACTAGTTAAAGTCATTTTGTGGTATTATTTTGGATTGACTAGAAAGCCATTTTCTTGTATTTCTTGTGTTTTCAAGAGTAGTAGTTCCGATTAAGAGTTGATAATGAAGAGCCGATCATAAGTGTTGATTGAAGATATTCCAGAATGGATGAGTCAGCAGCAACAACAATTGGAACTTCGAGATGTCCAGATCTTGAAACTGGATGTTCAAGTATGTATATTGGATGAGTATAATGAAGATCTATTAAATCAATTGAAGCAGGAGCCAATGGAAGGATTGGAGGAGGACGAAGATTTACAGTTGGAACCAGAATTAGTAGAACCAATAACAGATACTACGGCAATTGATTATTTAGATAGGCCAGAGAGATCCCAATTTTTGTGGAGATTTGTTAGATAATTTTTAGATAGGTATCAATTAAGTGTTTGTGAGAACGCTGCACAGATAGGAGTAGGGCTATGTAGAATAGATATTAATTTGTTTTTGAAAGATATTGGTAAAATATATTAATAGTCCATATAATAGGAAATTCAGGAAGACGGATGAGTGATTTAGTTCTTAAAAGCGATTAATTACAGAATTACGGTTAGAATCTAGAGAATCAGGGGAAAGTATATAGGAGTTGTAGAAGTTAATTAGAGTGCCATCGCTATGATAGTGTGAGCCGGGGTAAGCTTGGTGCTACCTCTTTTCTTTTGTTTGTTATTTTCTTTGAATAAGATGATTGAGAATTTCTGAATATTGTGAAGTGAATTATGGAATGGAAATGTGATTGGTATTATTTGAGAAGAAGAAAGATTGAATGCTGAAATTTGATTGTAGTTCAATAGAGAGAATGAGTCTGTGTTTGTGTGAAACACCGTAATGTGAATGGCAGTTCTGTGTGAAGAATTCCAGTGATTGGAATGAGGATAATTGTGTGCTGAAAGCTATGAGGGCATAGTATTATAGTTGAAGATTATGAAGGTGAATATATTGGTGGAAATAGCAGTTATTGGTATGACTGAATTGCTATAAGGAAGAGACCGATAAGGTGAAGGAGGAGATTATAGTTTCCTTCTGTATTCAGATATTGGAAATAGAGACGATACATTCAGGAGGTAATTGATTGTATGACCCTAACATGAACGCTTAAGCAACTAGTCATTCCCCGTGTTCGAATCCTCCTATACGGATTTATTCTCATTAGATTAATTTGGAATAAGTAAAATGAGCAATCACAGATGTCAAGTCAAAGTTTTTTCCCACCTAAGTATTCAAACCTTAGTTGATATGAACAAACTCAAGTAACTGAAAAACCATCAATAGATGAAAAAACACTAACCAAACTAAATTATTTACATTTGACAAGATTTTGCAGTCAATGCCATATCATGTGATAGAATTATAATTACTATTATTTATTGACATTATTCTCTTTAATCATTTTAAATTATAATTAAAAAAAAAAATCTCATTCAAAATTTGATTGCAAGCAACCACAAAAAGATAATATATAACTTGAGTTTTTTTAATAATATTTTGATTGGTTAACTTAATTTGGTAGACATAGACATGTTTGTAATGAATAAAAATTTAAACTAATAAATTTAATATATGAATTTCTTATTTTTTAATAAGATAATATTTTTAAAATATTAAACATTGTAGAATACAAGATTCCATAACAACACAATCAATTAATAACATACATTTCTAACATTCACCTGTCATAGTTCTTAGTACATTGTTAATACATTACAATAAATATAGTCATGTAACACCTACTGTAATATTTATACACAATAATACACAATGTTGCAAGCATTTGAAATGTTAAATAAATGCTATATATTGAAACTAAAATAATATATTATAAATATTGAAGTTAATGATGAGTATTATATCTGATGCTTTTAAATAAATTGTTGTAATCCTTTCAAAAAACACACAACCACAATGATAACATTAGAAATAATAACATTACAATCATCACATTGTAATGATTGTATTTGTTGTAGTTTATTGTTAAAAATAGTAAATAGCTATGTTTTCTTTTTTAAAATAGCATCAGCTTTTGATGTTTTTCAAAGATTTTAGTAATTTAATACAGATGATAAATAATATATGTATTTTATATTTTAATCTTCAGATTACTTTGACTTTCTGTTCGTTGCAACTGAGTGTCTTTCAATGTCCACGATTATCTTTTTCTTTTCAGACACAGAATTATATTTTCATTTTCATAATAGTAATAATCATAATTTTTCATTACGAACCTGACTGTGAGAGCCCCAATCGTGTTACAAAATTAGAAAAGTGAAAAGTAGCAGATTGAAGAGAATTCTGAAGAGGTTTATATTCGCCTCGCCCGGGTATCAAGTCTTAAGGGCAGGGACTGCGAGGGGCGTGGGATGATAGTGAGGAATCGACGGTGAAGGGGGAGGTGGGGGGGGGGGGGTCTGGGCGGTAATTTTGAAACAACCCCTGTGCTCGTGCTCCCAACCTTCCCACGTTCTTCTGGGAACACATGGTAATAATATTATAATGCAACGAAGGGGAACAACGAACTCTACCACAAATCGCGGTGGGCAACGATTTCTGGCAAGAACAACGACGATAAATGGGATGAACGCGGAGCGCTCGGAATTGGACGAAATCCGAAGGCAGTTCGCAGCAACGGAGACGAAGAAGCGACGGACGGGGAGTGGCAGAGTTGCATTCATTCTGGATCCCGAGTGAGCTCGCTCGCCCGCTAACTGAGCTCGTGCTGGGTGACCATCCTCGTTAATCTTGCAGTGTGTCTCGCGTGTGTGATGTCCCTGCGGCATCGGAGCGTGGCGTTTGCGGTTGTTGATTAGGCAGCAGTCATGCCGGATTTCCTCTGAGGTCGACATTGAGGTGCAGGAGGAGGGAGTGAGTTAGGGAGTGAGGGAGGAAACCTACAACTGGACCTGGGGTTTGGAAGTAGAGCTGCTCTGCTGCTGGGTCGGTGCCATTCGTGGGGGTCTACGTTGGGACGTTGTGATGGTGCGGCACACAGCGATGCTAGTGATCGTGTTGCTAGCGTTGTGCGGTTTAGGAGTAGTGGAGGTGCACGGTAGTAGCTCTAACCACAAGTATGGCGCTGGAGATCCCGTGCCGCTGTATGCGAACAAAGTGGGTCCATTCCACAACCCGAGGTACGACTGGCGAAACTCTCTTGTAGTGATGGGTGGGGGGTGTATGGCGAAATTTGTGTGCATAAAGTGTACAGATCGCGTCTGTTGTCTTTGGGTATGATCTTTGGAAGCAAATGCTGGTGATTTGTGATCTCTTGCTGGTGTCCATGGAGAAGCCGGTGCTTGGATAGTGCATGTAATTGGAAGCGGTGGTGATTGTGTTTCTACATGTTTTTTTCCCTTCCTTTTGCCTTTTGCTCGGGAACCTCGGATGTTTCACTACTGTCGAACTTCGGTGTTGAAATTGACTTTTGCCTGCCTGCCTGCCCTTTTTTTTTTCCCCCTTTTTTTCCCCTTTTTTTCCCCTTTTTTTTTTTTTATTATCCTTCTGGGCGGGGTTCTGCCCCGACAGTTGTCTGTCGGTACCGTATCACTGAGGTGTTGAAGTTTTGTAGGGTTGCGGATATGTGCACCTGAAACGTCTAAGTAAAGCTGCTGCTTAGATTTTCGTTTTGCGAATATAGTGTACATATTTAGGACGTGGCTTGGAATGGAACTTGGTATGTGTGGTTGCTGCTGCTGCTGTATTGACCAGGAGTTCTTTTTTTCTTTTCTCTTTTTTCTTCTTCGGTACAACATGCCAAACTAGGTATGCTGGAGTACTTATCTACGTGTCTGAAATTGCAGTGAGACTTACAAGTACTTTGATTTGCCCTTCTGCCATCCCAAAGGTTTGTTCTCGTTGTTCCTTATCCTTCCTCTCATCGTTGCACTTTCTCGAGGCTCAGTATTCGATCCTTATGTTCTGGCGTAGTTATTGTTTTTTTTATTTGCCCCACTTTGTTTGAAGGCGTCTTTAGTGCTTGCATCCAGAAATTCATTGAATACTGATTTCTGTAGCTTTGCAGGGGAGGTCACTGAAAAGAGGGAGGCTCTTGGTGAGGTTCTCAACGGAGACCGCATGGTGGAAGCTTTATATGAGTTGAAGTTTAAGCAGGACAAGGAGATGGAAATCCTGTGTGAGAAGCCGCTTACTAAGAATGATATTAAAAAGTTCCGAGATGCTGTTAAGAATGACTATTATTTCCAGATGTATTATGATGACTTGCCTATCTGGGGCTTCGTTGGCAAGATAGAAAAATCTGGGCAGGATGTCAAGTATTCACTCAACACCCATGTTCATTTTGACATTCAATATAACGATAATCGTGTCATTGAGATTAGTGTCGATTACGAAGCTACGAACCTGGTGGATATCACTCTAGATAAGGAGCAGACAGTGAAGTTCACCTACACTGCGAAATGGAAGGCAACAGATAAGCCATTCAGTCAACGCATGGCAAAGTACTCAAGAAATTCATTCCTGCCTCAGCACCTTGAGATTCACTGGTTTTCAATTATCAACTCCTGCGTGACCGTCCTCCTCCTCACTGGGTTCCTTGCTACAATTTTGATGCGTGTGCTGAAAAATGATTTCATCAAGTAAGTTGATTGGACTTCAGTCACCACTCAAGGGCGCAAATATTCTTAATTTTTACACTATTATCTGTATGAGTTCGTAATATTGATAAACTCTGTTGTTCCCGTCAAATCGTCGAGCATCTTTAGATGTTTATGAAGCTTTTTGTAGAATCATGTGGAGATCATTCTTGACTTTGTGCTGTGCATCATTCTTAATGGCCAGGTATTCTCGGGATGAAGAGGTTGCTGACGAACAAGAGGAAACAGGTTGGAAGTATATTCATGGGGATGTTTTCAGATTCCCATCTCACAAGTCTCTGTTCTGCGCCGTTCTGGGAAGTGGAGCACAGCTTCTTGCTTTGTGAGGTTCTAAGCTTTCTTGCTGGTGTTTTTAGGTTCTCGACAATCTTTGTTTTCCTACCACTTACTGATGCACGTGCTCTGAAAGGTCCATTGTTTTAGTTGTGGCTTAAATCTTGTAGACAGTTGATGAAGAGTTTGTTGGTCGGCAGGTCCTTTAATTCTCAACTTGGCTCTGCATTAGGGTCACATTGCAGAGTGCATCAGACAATTTGAGCTCACAAATCACATATTCATGTGGTTCTGTAACTGTTACTTGCAGAGCTATCTTCATCTTCCTGCTTTCTTTGGTTGGAGTTTTTTACCCGTACAATCGCGGAGCTCTCTATACTGCGCTTGTTGTGATATATGCTCTGACATCTGGCATTGCTGGGTACACAGCATCCTCTTTCTACAAGCAACTTGAAGGAACTAACTGGGTAAGTGGATGAGTATGTGTGTCTATTTTGGGTCCAGTTGATTTCTATTTCGGGGGGTAATTTTAAAGGACTTCAAGGCTGAAGTTATCTAACATGAGTGACCTCCTTCATTTCCAGTCTGTAAAAGTCAGGAGGTCTGGTAATTTTTATTGTAGCTGAATCACGAGAGGTCATGAAAATTTGTGGGCGATGGTAGATTCTGCTTATGTCAAACTTATACTTTTTCTGTGTCCTGGGTGAGTGCAGGTTAGGAACATACTTTATACTGGTGCATTGTTTTGTGGGCCTCTTTTCCTCACATTCTCTTTTTTAAATACAGTTGCTATTTTCTACAATGCAACTGCAGCCCTCCCATTCGGCACAATTTGTGTCATTATCTTAATATGGACGCTTATCACCGCTCCTTTGTTGGTTTTGGGTGGTATTGCCGGGAAGAATAGTAAGATTGAATTTCAAGCTCCTTGCAGGACTTCGAAGTTTCCGAGGGAAGTACCACCTCTCCCTTGGTATCGCCACACTGTTCCGCAAATGGCAATGGCTGGGTTCTTGCCATTCAGTGCCATTTACATTGAGCTATACTACATTTTTGCTAGTGTGTGGGGCCACAAGGTCTACACTATCTACAGTATTCTTTTCATTGTCTTCATCATTTTGATCATCGTGACGGCTTTTATCACAATTGCATTGACCTACTTCCAGCTTGCTGTTGAAGACCACGAATGGTGGTGGAGGTAAGATCATCTCATGTCGCTGAGGTTGGTGTACTGGAGTCATTGAACTGATTGGGGTTTGCGTGTGAATAGACAGTGCAGATTGAATAGCATACAACCACTCACACTCATGCACGGTTTATACATTGTTGGGATCCCTTTTCTCGACGTATTGATGATATGAATTGTCTGTTCAGGGCCGTCCTGTGCGGAGGTTCAACTGGAGTTTTCATTTTTGGATACTGCTTCTACTATTATTATGCCCGATCGGACATGAGCGGTTTTATGCAGACGTCGTTCTTCTTCGGCTACATGGCTTGCATCTGCTACGGCTTTTTCCTTATGCTGGGCAGTGTTGGATTTCGCGCCTCACACTTGTTTGTTCGGCATATTTACCAGTCGATCAAATGCGAATGAGGTCTTTGCTGTGACATCGATGTCCTACTCCAACATGGTATTATGCTGAGGCTCGACTCCACAATTATGAAGACAAAATAAACTCATCAGCATGTTAACCTCCAGAGCTTCATATTGGTGATAGATATAGGGTTGTCTGTCCCGACTCTATTAGGAATATGAATGATATTGAAGTTGAATGTTTTCATTCGAAATCTACTTTTAGCTCAGACTAGTTTCCTTTGTAAGTAGAAATTTCGGTCTCAAGATTTCCGTACATTGCTGTACCGACCGGACATATCAAGTTCAGCAACGGATTTATACGATTAATTAATTGACCAGAGTTTCAATGTTGTTGAAGGCAATTGGCTTTGCAAATACTTGACTGGAGGAACTTCGTGTTTCCTGTAGGCTCCACTCTCAAACAGCTCTAAATCTGGCTCTGCGAGGTTTTCACCGCACCGTCTTCTCAGCACCTCATGCTGCTGTTCCTGGCCCTGAAATGTGAAAATCAAACAACAGAAGCCTCGGAAGGTGCGCGAGATGACATGACAGTTCCATCATCGGCTGGAATGCAGGTCTAGTTCTTGTTGCTGTCGGAGCTGCTGGTTGTCGTATGGGGGGCTACAATCTAAACGCCACGCTATGCTTTTGCCCCAACTTCATCAAATCGCTGTGAAGGATGTTTTCAGCTAAAACCTTTCAAGGCAAGTGTGGACAATCATTTTTGGCATTTAGAGTGAATACAATATAGTCTTAAAATATTACTTTTTGTAAGTGATGTTTCTTCAAAACAAGGGCGAAAGTCTAGACCAATAATTTACTGTTTTTATTCTCTCATTATTTATTTATAGTTTTCAGAAAAAATTATCAATGATAATGTTTCTGGACTTGGGTCCAGATATTTTAATCTATGCAAGCAATTCGTAGATCACATGGGCTTTTGTTTCCATAAAAGTTTTTTTTGGATATGAACTTTTGTTTCACCACAAAGACTTTAAGTACTATATGTGTAACTTAATGTCTTGAATGTCACAGGTCATATATCTCACAAGAAATTCGTTATTTGTAGTAAAGGAAAACAAGTAAAATACTTGGACATAACAATCAAATTAAGCATCAGACATGTGACATTTGTAATTGAAAATTATAACAAGGACTTGCGTACATGGTATGTATTCCTTCTATAATATATTATTCTATAAGATCATTAATTTATTTTTTAATAATAATTTTTAAATTATGATTTGCAGTGTTGACTGCCCTACAGAATTCTTAAGATCAAATAGATAATTTATTCAATAAAATTTCAGAATTGTAAAGTTGTGTATGTATATAATTATGAAATGCCCCAAGTGGAGACTCTTCTTCTGTAAAGCATCCAAAATTGAACAAATACAAAAAATACTATCCAAAATATTTCTGAAGCAGATAATTGACCTAAATCTGTATACGAGCATTCAATCTTTTTAAAATAAGAGACTATTACACAAAAAGTATTATGGAGTAATATAATATATATATATATATATATATTGATATAAAAACAAGTGCTAGAATGAATCTAATGAAGTTTTTAAAATCTTTGTCAAAGAAGAAATCAAAACATTATGATTTCAAAAACAAAGGATTATATATATATATATATATATATATATATATCTATTGTATTGAGTAAATAAACACTAAAAATAAGTACGTAAAAATTTCATATGAAAATGTTGTACAATATTTTTGGGAATTGATACTTTTACCTAGCATTGTGTTGCATCCACTACATTGTTGTTGTTGTGGTTTTGTGATGTATTCAAAGGCAATTATGCTCTTATTGTTGTTTCAATGGGGCAGCCCTTTGTCTTTGTTAGCAATATAAGGTAGTGATTGTTTTCAATAATAAGGTCTAAATAAGGTCTAATGCTTTTGCTCTCACTACAACTCACTTGGCAAAGATCTTAAGAGAGTACAAACTTTCCTTCCAAAATTGCCCAAGTGAAGTAATTGTTGAAATGCAACACATCACAAAACAACAATGATGGCACTGTGGTAGGTGCATTACTATGCTAGATGGAAATAATAAAACTTTGAGAGAATTTTTATTTTATTTTATTTTATATATACATATACATATATATATATATATATATATATATATGTGTGTGTGTGTGTGTGTGTGTGTGTTTATATATATATATATATATATATTCCTGAAAAACATTTATGGTTGTACATAGATAAAAGTAATATTTTTGTTTTCAATACTATTTTAATAATTTGTTTCAATGCATCTTAGAACTGTGAATTAAAATATAATTGTGTATAACTAATTATGTGTAAATCTACATTGTGTAATTATTCAAATCGAGATTTAATGTAAATATAAGATTTACTAGAAATGGCTTATTAAAATAAAAAAAACATTGTTTTGTTAATATTAAGAACAATGATATTTTTGAAAGAGAATTTAATTGTCTTCTGTGGTTTCTTACTAAGAGTCTTATTTTAATAATACAATTTATAAGTTTTATAACAATCAATCAATAATCATTGCAAAGATCTTGACATAGAACAATATTTGTTTAATAATATAATGAGACATCCAACCTCAAGTTCTAATTTTGATGGAAATATCTTATTGGATTTAAATATATTCAAGTATTCTACATAATATGTATTTCTATTACTTTCTTCATTTTTTCTTATAATTTTATATATACTAAAATAGAATCAAGTTTATGAACAAATATTTAATGAGTTCATTCATTGACATTATCAATAATACTATTTTGTGCCAATAAAATTGATTTATTGTTACCTTTTCATCTTTTCATATTCAAACTTTTATTCAATTTAAATTGTTCTTATTAAAGCTTTCAAAGTTAAAGTTGCATTTATATAACTTCTTGATTCATATATAAGATTCTTTTTAGGATTCTACTTTAAATTACTTGAGATTTATAATACTATTAAGATTTATAAATACATGTAAAGTAATTTATTCAATATCTAAGAGTGCATGTTTTTTTTTAAAAAAATCAATAAAGGATGACAAAGAATGAACACAATGAGCTAAAATAAATAAATAAACATTATTTGCTATAATTCTAGTTAATTGTATACCAACCTTTTTAGTAGAATTATAAATCAAGTCTTTAAGATGATTCATATTTCCAAAATATTTATAAATATAGAATTGAAAAATTCTACAAAAAAATCAAATGTATAATCATACTTTTTATTCTTCTATTTCTTTTTTATTTTTTCTTCATAAAATCCTTTAATAAAATCCTTTAATTGTTCCAATAAAATATTAAAGGATTAGTATGAATGAATTTGTAATGAATTTTCTAAATAGATTTGAGAACTAAATGATTTTAGTATATTATTCCATTAGAAACCATTCTTTGGATTCTTAGTAGAGGACACATAGTACATTCAATATTTAGAATTTTTCCATATATTCAAAAATAATGTTTGTAATCTACATCAAAAATAAAATTTATATAATTTTTAAAGTTTTGTTATAATTAGAATTTAGAATGAGATACTAATACAATATTTTCATTTTTCAAAAATTTTTGATGAAATTTTGAAAATTAATCATAAAATTAAAAAACTAGTTGGTGAAATTATAATGGTTTTGTTGTGATTTTTATTTGTTTTTATAGATATTCTTACTTTGTTTTAAAAAAGGGGAAAAAGATATTGTTGGTGTTTTTTTTCAACATCTAATATTATGGCAAAAAATATACACCTGTAAAAACATACATATACATATATTATTTATATAAATTTATATTAATTATTTTTCTAATAAAAAAACACCAACTTGATATCTAATTCTTTAAAGTATTTAAAAACAACAAAGATCATAGTCTTTAAGAATTTTCTTTTAAAATTTTGTATCAAGAGATGAAATTATATTAGCTAAGTCATATTATCAAATGTATTTTTTATATTTAGATTTTAGTTATTTTTTAAATTATTATTTATCAGAGCTTATGTGTAATCATAGTGTTTTCTATTTTAGATAATTTTCTGGCTATCTTACATGCTAGTTCTCATTACCAAAAAAACAAATTCTAATTTATTTATTTATTTTATTTTATTTTATTAATATAAAATTAATGCCAATATTTTGTTTTTTATACATGACAAATTGTTTTTACATGTCCTATATTCATGTTGAACTTTTTTTTTATATAGTAATATTTTATTTTTGTTTCTATCATCTTCAATTTTAAATATCAACTAACCTGAAGTATTTGTGCTAATAATAGTATCATACATATAATTTAAAAACAAAAACATAATCAATTTTTTTTAGAATAATTATATTATTATGATATTTTGGAATCATTATATACACAGCGTGCATTATCTTCTTATATTTGATTAGCAAGTATGTCACTTAAAATCTTCACAAACTGCCATATTATAAACAATAAAGATTCAAAAAAATATTTACAAATTTAAAAAAAGAAAAGAAAAATGATAATAAATATAAAATATTTATATTTGCATGTACATTTTAGTGAATTAGAAATATTACTCAAATGGTTTATAAAACATATGTTTGAATAACTTTAAAATAAAAATATGTTTTACAAAGTTAAATTAATCAAATATATGTTATATATATTTTCTTCAAAATTTAAAAATTCAAATTTTGTAAATCCAAATAAGAAATATATTAATATTTCTTATATATAGATATTGCCATAAATTTTAACAATTTTTAATCATCTACTAAACCAATTAGAATTAATTTATAATAACAATAAAATATACCTATGTATTTTTATAGTATAAATTTGTGTTATCATTGTAGTTATGATATTTATTTTAAGCCCTTGGCTTTTGAATGATAAAATTTGGGAATTTAATTTCTCATAAAGAATCACATAGAAATCGAATCAAATAAATGATATTTTTAAAATTTTTAAAAATCATAATAATATTTAATATCAATATAACTAATTGATATTTTTTTAAAAAAATATACATCATTTAAATATTTTTATTGTAAGAATTTTGTTTCTATAGTTATTATTTTTAAAATAAATTGTTTGCAATTACTATAACAAATAATCTTTAATTAGTTGTACATTTTCCAACATTAACAAGTTTGTTCAATTATACATCTTTTAAAGTATTCAATATTTTCAAAAATGTTTAAAGAATAAGTAGTTATTCAATTAATTATTCATCTTTCATTATTTTCAACATTATCCAAAAATGCTAAAAGATTCATTACTTATCCTACTAATTGTGCATTCTTTCAACATTTGATCAATCAACGTCTTAGAAGATGTCCAATTAATTATGCATTAACATGTATTAATGGGACATCCTTCAACATTTAATATATATGTTGAAAGATACATAATCAGTGACTAATCATATGAGAGTTAAAATTGTCATATAAGCATGAATAGAAGGTTATTATATACTTAGATCTCAAATTAGAAGTCTCTCTAAGATAGTTAGAATATTTGTGATTAGATTACAAAATTGTTAATAAAATGATCAACTTTGTTTCTTTTAAATGCTTATTTAATTACATCAAAGTGCATAAAGTAGAGCTTACCAAAACCAAAACCAATAAGTTTTAATCTATGCTTTAAAGAACTAAATAAAGCTTAAGGCTAATAAAATAAATGGTAATAATAATATTAAAAATAAAAGATTTGCATAGATTAGATATATATAGCTATATATATATAAGTGTGCAAACCAACAGGGTCTAGAATATAGTATGCAATTTGGCTCAAACTAGTAGTTGTTGAGAATTTTTTCTTAAAGTAAATCTTGATTACAACTTATTCACTTCAACAAAAAGAAAACTATTTTTTGAGATTAATACTTGCAAATTAAAATCCATTAAGAGATACAACCATCTAGTAATAATTTAAGGTGATTAATGAGTTCTCTTAGAATCAAAACCAAGTCTAGGAAGAAATTTCTAACCTACCAAACTTTGGACAGACTTGTGTCAAAAGTATTAAAATGCAAACTTTAGATCCATTAAACTATAAGTCATTGTTTTATATTATTTTTATTTTGTAATGACATACATTATCAATCCATATAATTATGTTGACCAATTGACTATTTGATAAATTTGATATCTAAGGTTATCATTTTACCTAAAAAAAAAGATAAGTATGAATTGAAGAAATAATAATCATCATGATTTAAAACAAATATAAATATATTTTGAAAACCAATGTTCAAAAGTATTGGGAACATATATTCGACACCTCAATAGAATGGGGGCGGGGAGGGGGGTTCGCGGGAGCTGTTGTTGATGTTTGGCTTCCCTTCTTTCGGCTTCTTCGCATTTCCAGCTCTGCCTTGCTCTGCGTTGCGGGGCGTGTCACGGAGTATCGGTGTCATGGCTCTGTTGTTGTTGCGTGTTATTGTCTCTGTTTCCTTCGTGTTTCGTAGTTGAGCCCTTCGCTGCGGCGCTTTCGTTTCTACATTTGGTTCTTGTTTGCAGGGCATCGTCGCTTGCGCCAGTTTTGTGTCCTGGTGCTGGAATCGGCCATGGAGACCTCGACTTCGCTGGATGGTGCGGTCGAACTTAGCGAGGGTTTATCCTTAGTGCCTTGCACTCTCATCTCGCTCTCCTTCGTCCGCGCGGACGTGTCCGTGCGCCCCGTCGACGAATGGAAGCTGAAGGAGGGATTGACTGCTCTGTTTAAGAAGACATTCGGGCTGACGGTGGCCGACCGGGACCTTGTTGTCCAGAAAGAGAAGAATTATTTTAAAAAACGGAGGGACGAGCCCATCGCGCATGGAGTCTTGCATTTGTGGGGGTCGAAACCTGAGGGAGACCCCTTGAGAGTTGGTGGTGAGGGAGCTGATTGGAGGAAGTATGTAGCGGAGTCTGTGAATGGCATCGAGCTGAACGTTAGCGGGTTGAAACTTAGATGCATTGCTCTTATTAAAGAGACGAATAACTTTGACGCTCTCAAGCAATCATGGGAGGCGGTATTTGGCCCTCGTCGTGGAGGTGGGTGACACTTTAGGGTTTTCAGACATGTTACACTATGAAACGGATTAAAGCTTTATATGGTTGAAGTTGAGTCATAGCTGGCTCATCCATGGGGATTTCTTTCAACCTCTGAACAACAATCTCGCATTCCTTCTTTCACTCTCTTTAATCGTAATGTGCGTTATAGAGCTGGGTACTATTGGAGCGTATACAGTTTTCGGTTGCCATACTAGCGTGCGAATTGAGTAGACTTGAGTCTTATGCTACTCCCGTCGTGTATTGCTTATTACTGTAGCCATCCCTTTTTATTTATTTAACTGTACCCATCGGATATCATGCAGAAGGCGCACAAGCAGGTCCAACTACTCTCACATTGAAAGGCGTGCCGTCTCGGTGGTTTGCCGAGCCACGGGTGTCATCGAAACCTTCTGTGTTGGTCACTCATACAATATTCTCCAGTTTCGGTGAAATCAGGTACTTGCACGTAGCGTTCATGGCAACAAGCTATGGTTGTGAATTGCGGCATTTTTCCTTAATTTTAAATTACTTTGTGTTATTTTCTCTTGATTTCAATAGTCTCTTAACCTCTTCAGTTGCATTGAGGATTTTTCGTGAATTCCGGTCCTCGAAAATCGACATCAAGTTGGTCCGCATTTACTTGAATTTTCACCTTTCGCATTAAATTCTGTATTGAATTCCTTATGTCCGCTAGTTTTTGTACTGTTTGGCAGTAAATTGTTTCACAGTTGTTGCTTGTCCTTACTTTCAACCTAGCATTCATGTAGCAATAAAATGTTGTCAACTTGATTAGTCAACAGTCAATCTACGCCGAAATAGCAAATCAGAGTGTAGAAGGCAACTAAGGTAGGTTTTAGCTACAAGTAATTGGTTGAGGTCCGGACCAGTCACGATTTTGTGACAATTATGGCATCGTGTTCACCACGATTACGATTAGTCAAGAACCTAGGCGTAGATGTAATTACCAGCGTCCGAGTGAAAATGGAGTTCTCTCCCACCGGGCTTCACTTGTGTAAGCCCTTTCATAGTGCAATAATACTATGGGCACATGGTTTCAGATCACCGTTATTGGGTAACTATTAAATCAGGAATGAAGATTGGGACCGGAAGACTAAGGCTTCTTTATTACAGACAAGTAATTGTTGAAGGGGTTTGACCCTGATTTTATTAGGGCGTCGGCTTGATGGATTTGTGTGGTGATTAGGAATTTGGAGGTGCTGGGCAATGAAGAGCTGGCAAAGAATCCTAGGGACGTTGGAAGTATGGCTGCCGCTTTACAGTGCCAAGTGTGGGTGCAGTTCATCAACCATGCGAGTTTCTGCAAAACTTTACAGACTTTTTGTGGTCGTGCAATGCAAAAGGCAGGTTTTGTTTACATGTATATCATTTGCGAGATTTCTACTATTTATCATTTGTTTGGTTGAAATTGCATAGATCGAGTTGATGTACAGTATTTTACACCTAGAATTGGTTTCTTTTGATGGCTTGGGGATTTGACTTACCTGTGCATGATTTTTCATTTTGGATTTAAAGTTCAATTCAATGACCGACGTGCACAATCTGAAGCGCGCATTACTGTGCCTATAACAGTCCTTTTCACAGTTGATAACGATAATCTCAATTTTGCTTCTGACTGCAGGCAGGGTCCAGCTTCCGAGCAACGTATGAGGTTGACTGGGATAAAGAGAACTTCTTTAGTGTGATGAACGTTCGGCGGAGGAAATTTGAAAAAGAAAGACTTGAGCAACAGTTGCGAATAGAGGCCGAGTTACTTCGAAAGCGGGAAGCTGAAGCTCGACAGGCTGAGTTTGCTCGTGTAGAGGAGGAAAGGTTGAAGATGGAACGTATGGCCGCTGCTTTGAGGTGACACCCTTATCGCCTACTTGTGCATGGCATACTCCTAGTGTTTGATTCCATACTGTTTGTACAGATAGCTGTCTCCAAACATCTGGTACTGTCCTCGAACATCAGGGTCTGAAAAATGCTTTCTAGACTTGTTAGAGATTAAAGTAATGGCTTGCTTAACAGTAAAATATGGAGTAGATCATTAAACAATCATTCTGTTGCGGCATATCCAGTTCTAGGTTGTTTTTGTTCAATATCTCGTTTTGAAGGGGAGTTTCTTATGGTTGCTATTCTATGTAAGAAGGTTTCCTTCAGTAATGTAGTATCATCCCGGATTTACGACAGTTAGTGTCGTTCTTCGTGCAATTGGGATCTTGCTTATGTTGTTCTGAAGTGATGTAATTAAAGAATACAACGTAGTCTCGATTACAGTTAGTGATTCGTCGTATGCAGAAAAAATGATTAGAATGGGTTCGTCGGTTCATTTTAATAACTAGTTACACCCTGCTTAGGACTTAGGGTATGCACGTTCTTACAGGTTTCACGTTGTGCAGATACAGTCTCCATGTGGATGTTTGTACTGTGTATTGGATTTGATCTTTTGATTTGCGGTTCTACTGCTTGATACTACGTATTGTATCTGCTGCATATCAATCTAGGGCGGAGGAAAGACAACGTCAACTGGATGAGTTAGCCAAAGAACTGGAGGAGGAATCTAGAATGCAGATGTTAGATCCTGATACATCGTCAGAAGAGAAGGTTTCGATCGAGGTATTTCTGAACTTTTGGATTCTGTCTGATGTACCGGAGGTCCAGATGAACAATAGACTGGTTCCCAGCGAACGTGTCGTTAATGTCTTTCCCCTTGCCTATTTTGTCCGCTGAAATGTTGGCGTTTATTCCCTCTTATGTTTTAGAACGCTTAGATCTGTGGACGTATTTTTGGTCTTCCATGTTTCTCAAATGTAAGTTTATAGGGGATTCTTTTTCTGCAGAATGATAGAGATAAGGCCTCAGGAGAGGGAATGTTACAAAGTGGTACTGAAATGAAACAGCGCATATCTGAGGAAGATGAGAGATTTTCGCCATCACGGAAGACCAATGTAAGGCACACATATGACACAAAAGATGAAAGGCTTCTGCTGCCAGTTAGAGACGAAGGAAGATCCTCATCTGACGACGATGAATCGTTACATTCTCCAGTAGCTAGAGAAAAGAGGAGACACATGTCCGAGACCGATGAAGAGATAGAAGCACTATCCCCACTCACAAGAGACAAGAGAGGTTATACATCAAATGCTAGAAGAGAGACGGTGTTAACGAAGAAAAGAGCGAAGAGGGGGGAGGCATCTGAGGATGAGGATATTCGGCCTGTCAGGAACAAGTCTAGAGATTCCTTGAAAGATGAGGCTAAATGGCATTCGTCTCATGCGAGAAAGCAGAGCGAAGACACCTCAGAGGATGATTTTGAAGCTAATTCTCCAGTAGCTAGGAATAGAAGGAAGGACACATCTGAGGAAGAGGGAGAATTGCGGCCGCTTCCACCAAGAATGAAGTTTCGAGAGTATACATCTGAAGAGGAAGAATCACGGGCACTACACCGCAAGGACAGGAGAAGATATACATCCGATGATGAGGAAGGGAGATTTATACCAGAGTCTGTTGATAAGAGATCTGATACATCCAAGGAGGGTGGACGTATCACAAATGTTTTTGAAGAGAACGCTTCTCATGACTTGTACAATCCTTTGGAGGTATGCATTACAATTTGACTTGCATCTGAGACCAGTCCTCTTATTTAAGTACTGCACTGGGAAATGATTTTCTCTGACGTCACTTTCTTGTGACAGAGATGGGAACCAGTGGATGAAACACCGCGTCATTTGAAGCTGGCGATGGGAAACAGTAGACATGAAGAACAAAGTTATGAGCCAAGAGTGGAGGGAAGCATGTAAGCACCGTTACTAACTCAACAGTACTATTACACTTAGAGCACCTTTAGATGATCATTTTATTTTAATATGTGCTCTGAGATTGGTGTTCGGTTATGATTTGTTAAGAGCTGTTTGTTGGCTGTTCCTTACTGTCTTCTTCTCTGTTGATCTGGAACCACGGAAAATTGACGAATGCCGTAGATCAGACTCAAAGTGGAATTTACTTGAAGTGTGTTGGGCTTCTTTTATTGTGTGCAGCAGGACTGCTAGTAAGCGATTTTCCTCTCCTGAAGCAAGTGATGAGGAGGAGGAACTTGAGCATGATGAATATATCAAGGAAGATGCATGGAGAGGGAAGGACGACCACTATGAGGTGGACCGATGGGCTCTGGATGTAACGCACAGTGTGGCGTCCTTATCTGTATCAGAGATGCTGTTGCAGGCTCCCAGGCATACGCACAAGGGTGGAATGGATAATTTTGAGAAGCGGTTACGTAGCATTATTACAATCAGCAGTTGAGGATTGAGTTGCGACTTGCAGATTTTATTGCTAGTCTTGTGAAACATTTGTGAATGAACAAAGTAGCTTCCGGCATTGCCGTCTATTGTCTGTCACCTGGTGATCAGGTTCATGTGTGCAGCCGGTGAAAACCATGTACTAATTGGATTTCATGTCTTTCTTTGTGGGACTTCTTTCCTCGTAGACCATCATTGCATCCCGAAATCTGTTCTCTTTGGCCAAGAAATTTATTTCTAGCAACATGTGCCCGGCGGTTGATATGATTTTCGAGGGGATTTATTTCGCTTGAATCATAAGTTGACTCAGGTTTTTGAAGGTATGTGATATCTTTGACAACCGATTTGCAAACTACGACGTGAGACTCTTATATCACCGTTGAAGAACTGTTGAAACACTGGTGTTACGTAAGCGCTGTGTGAATAGAAGATTTTTCTGCAGTTGATGCTGTCAGCTCCTTCCTTGGGTCTTATGTTGTGCGACCCGTGATGAGAAATCTTCCTTTCCATGCGTGCAGGTTTCCGTTTTTGGTACTCGGTATGGCCTTGATATGGGCTTAGCCATGCCACCGCATAGCGCATGTTTGCCGCACATTTGCGATGAGTATGGTCATCGTGCACACTAGCCTCATTTTGTGAATGATACTCTTGAAAACTGCCCAGGTCTAACTAGCAATCATTCCCTCTCCAAATTTCCTGATTGCACGCCTCATCATGTCTCGTTTTCCCCAGTTTTTGGTGATGCATTATTTTCGTATTTTTATTTTGAGGACGGATTTTGTTTGAATAGCCACCATGATTTAGGACATTTGGAGGACGTATGAGTGGGGCTTGAGCAGCAAGTTGAGTCACTAGTTATTTTTTATTTTTTAATAATTTTTTCAACTATAGCATGGGGGTGATGAAGGCAGGTAATACCAACAATGAATTTAATCTGCGCGTAATTGTTCACTGCTTGGATGTGGTGTGTAGTGTGGTTCTGTGATTGATTTCTATTTCTGTACATGGATCTAGCGTAATGTAAAATTTATTATAGGGTATTCGGATCTGTAGATTTGTTATAAAGCTTGGATTTTTGTGTATGAGTCAGATGGTCCTCAGGTTCTGTGTGAATCATAGCTTAGTGTATTGTAGTTTTCTTGAATTATGAATTCCAGCGGGGGTTGAATTTTGTTATCGTGTCTGGACCAGGTTTAAGAGCTCTGTGAGAAGCACGAGGGGATTACTGCGAATGTCTGTGAAGAAAAACTCAGAAGGGTTTAATTGCGGTTTTGGGAAACATCAAACTTGGAGCCTCACGAAATTCGAAAAGTTGGAGTTCTTTGGGTTTTAGTCAATGTAATTCACGAGGCTGTTTTTGGTGAAGTTTGTGCAGATGTGACTGTTTAGTGCGGTTTCTCAGCACCATGGGCCACTGCACATCATCGGCTTACACATTTGGTATGTAGCTGCTTTTAAGTCGTTTTGTCGAAAAAATATTCCCCCAATTCCATTTTTCGCCTAATATAACTGTGTTCTTCCAGTCTATCTTTTACACCTACTTTTTGTTTATATCATCCCCCTTCCAGTTGAATTTCTGAAAAAAGAAAACTAGAAGTTGAAATTGATTCATTGGTCTACTTGGGAATCTAATTGTACAATTTCCTGTTGGAGAAAATGTCTTTTGCAGTTGTCGATATGGTAATGTTGGCATCAGCTTCCATGTCTTCAACATTAGATTGTCGAGATGAATTTCAAAGTAGATAAAGTTTAGAGACAGATGATGTAGATTTTTCACCACGAAACTCTGATTTGAATACTATGTTCTCTTCATCCTTTTAAAGGGGTTGGTACAATGTTGTCTACGTATTGACTGTGTAGAATAACAGCACATTATAGTTTCGTGATCATTGTTGCTTACCCAAACACCTGATACGGTTATTGGGCTCGTATGGTCAGCATGAGTTCATGGCGAATTTTGACAAATGTCTCACCTTGTGCCATTTACTTGTTACGGCCTACTCGTTTTCTGAGAAATTTGTAGAATTAGTGAGTTTTATGCTTGAGTTTTGTCAAGTGCTGTTTAAAAACTGTTGTTCCACAATGTTTGTTGACATTTGGGCACAGCATTTTAATCGAGGGGACTTAATATGACATTTGTAATTGTTAGGCTTGTTCTATGTTTTCAAGAGTACTCAAGGGATTTTTCCTACCATTCTAATGCTCACAAAACAAATATTAGTTCAAGATGCCATCAAAATGAGGTCAAAAGGAAAATGCAGGTGTTGCAAATGTGGTAATTATATTGCATTTTCAAAACCTCCTAAGCATTTGCATTAGATGGATTTTTCAAATGGTGGTATTTTCTAAAGATGCTCATAAAACTTCTAGCAGTGTGAACTGAAGAATTAACATTATGTTAAATTCTTACTTCTTTCAAAAATTCATTGTAGCTGACATTTTTTCTACTTCACTTATCATGGTTTTTGCTATATATAACCATTAACTATTTTAAAAAATCATGCACATATTTAATTGGTTTTATTTCCACAAATTTTTCAATAATTTATTATTTTTTCATTTGATGTACAATACTTGTACTCACATTTCTACTCAATACAAGATCTTTTCATTTCTATGAATGTTGGTGTTATTCCATCTTGTTGATATGCTCTCTATTAAAAGTAAAAGTTGTGACAATTCTTACAAGGTACATTGCTCATACAAATTTTAAGATTTTATTTTTGGTATTAAATGATAGAGAAGACTTTCAATTCCATTCTCAACTTCTCAAGGTCTATTTTATTATTAATATTATTATTATATTATTATTGTTGTTATATATATATATATATATATATATATATATTGTTTCTTCTCTTCCTTTAAAAACAACCTCTCTCTAAATTGCTCCATTTTATTTGCAAGTAACTTTTTCACATTTTTTAAATTCTTTAATTTTAGCAATCAGATCATATTGTTCAATTACAAATCAAATCTCAACAAAGACTCCTTCAAAGTCTACATAAATCAATGAATTTACTTTGCTTTTTCATGTATAGCAATCATATCTTCTTGTTTCTTGCTTGATCAATTTGTTTGTAGTTTTGATTTTCAACATCCTCTATCATTTTAGAGCTTTTAGAAGATGTTTGAAAACACAAGTTACTTATGTTCTAATCTTTCACAAATTTCTTATTTCACTTCATATTTGGTTTTATTTCAATTCTACTAAGTTGATCTAACATAATGATATTATAGCATCTTTTCTTCTATGCTTTTCATTTTTTAAATTTAATCTTCTTAGAATGAGGGAGGAGGGGAGGGGAGGAAAGAAGACAGAATGGAGGGAGTAGAGGCTAGAAATAAGGCAAGTATAGACAAGGGCCATGATTGTAATAATGGTTTCTAGAAACTTAAGTCTAAAAGCTTTATGATGCAAATTTAGATTATTTTTTTATTTAATCTAAATTTTATTTCTTAATTGTATTTAGCTCACTAAGTTCTTAAAAATTAGATAATATTAAATTTTTTTAAATATAGTATTTTTTTAATAGTATATAAGAATTTAGGATAGAGCTTTGATCTTTGTAGCAAAGTAGATTATATTAAGATGTTTTACAACATTATAACACTTTTGTATTTTTTATGAAATAAAAGAAATAAAAAAATCAAATTATTATTTTTAGTTATGTATTATTTTTTGAATAATAATAATTAGTAAAATGATAAAACAAGAAAAATGTAAAATTAACCCATCTTTTTACTAAGTCAACCCATTACGTGATAATTTGGCATGATTGTCATGTGTTTTTATTTTTTACTACATTTTTTGGGTATAGATCTTTAAAAATTGCCACTGGCTCTAATACTCCATGGAGCCAACAAAAACATGTCTTTCTCTCTCAAAGCCTTCTCCCATCTCCTTTGCTACTAAAAAATCAAGTACTACAAATAGGTGGGTTGATTTAGCAAAATGGTAGATTGATTTAACAATTCTCTAAAATAAATACAACAAAAGATAACTTTTAGTCTTGTAGAAATATCTTGTTGAACTTCAAATAGCTAATATGACTAATAATAAAATTTGTATTACTTAAAAATATGACATTAGTTGGTAACAAATTTATAAATACAAATAATCAAATTTATAATATATTCAATTTTGATTTGAAGTTTTAAGCTTTAGAAGTTCTTTACAAGTTAATCAAAAATCAATGAAAACTTTTTTTTTAATCTAAATACACGATTTTTAAAATTAGAAAAACTTCTTCACAAAATTGATTTGTAAATTTAAACCTAAATTTATAAAATGTAAGCATATTAGTGACATTCCATATTACAAACCAAGTGCAAAAAATATGGAATTGCTAAGTACAGCATCCATAGAACAACCAAATATGCTCCAAAACCAACTCCATTTCTATGAAGAACATTTTCCATAAGTATGGGGAGTTTCTAGAAATGTACTTCTGCAAAAATCATCGGAGTAGTGGAGACGAATATTTCTAATGCAAATTAGGTCTACTCATGCACTTCATGCAGTCATCTCACAGTTTAATACTCTAAGAAAAATGCCACTCACATAAATTCAAGATGTGACTGCTTCATGATAATCCGTAACCTCATACTTTGTTTAAGACAGCAGGCTAAACAAAGTCTATTCTAAAGTAGCAATGGCACCTATTTGTATGCACAGTATAACGCTAATCCAAGTGAAATCCATAGCGCTCATTTCACTGCATTTCCAAAATTCCTGAAAAGGAGTCAAGACAGTCCTCCCTATATATAGGGGGGAACCAGAGTAAGATCTGGGAGACAACCGAGACCAAAAGCCTAAACGTTGCTAGTAAGAAAGCTTCTCTTACAAGAAGGCAAGGAATTCAAACATGAACCCTTCGCTGCAGTTATAAGAACTCGCCATGTTTGTTTGCTCGACACCTTCCCATCAACATATATCCGCCCGCGATTCAGAAGGTAGCATAAGAAAATATCCAACAGAAAAAGTAATTTTCGGCCAGAATGATTCGTCGGCCCATCCTGACCACCCGTGTGGGTGAGTTTGCACCAGACAGGTTGCTTCACAGTAATTGGAATGTGAACGCAATATATCACACGAGTACTTCTTGAGTATGTGCAAACATTGTTTTCTCAAGTCTACACCCAAATGATGCTCACATCGCTTTGTACTCGTTGTTGATGCTATAAATTAGAAACTGTTGTTGCAAACTCTCCATGATCTTCAGAATCTCAGCTTCATCGATATGTGAGAATGCTGCAAAAATCATCGCTAAAGATGCCTGCACGTCATGAATCAACACAATCAGACTAAAAAACAATCTCCTACATGCTCATATAACTAGTATGCAGTGGCTTTTGAAACAGCTTTCTAGTACTCATTGAAAGTTCCAGATGCTGCAAATGACGTAACTCCTGGGAACTCGGGGTCGAGATGAAGGAATCCAAAACCCAGACTTCGGCCGCTATGAAATTATATCTCGCATGCAACTTTTATGCTTATTCAACTACTTTTTGAAATCTCACACCTAAAATAATACGAGAGCACCAAGTTAAACAACTCTCAGTCGAAGTAATTTCCTAATGATCACTTCATCATTTGGGCTTGAGATGGTACTGAACTCAAATTTCTTACCGAATTCGAGGCTGCAATAAATTCCAGTACTTCATTATTGATCACTTGCCTAAACTTCTGTGAGATTCCCTTGCCGTTTTCGCTTGACTCATTCGGATTATGATCGCTCGGCTTCACTTTCTTGAGTGGACCCTGTCCGGTGGGTGAACTTTCTCGACCTGCCTTTCTTCGCGACGGCTTTTTCAAATTTTCAGACTCGTCTGTTAACCATGACGGTCTTGCAAACAAACCCAGGCTACATTCATCTTCCCCTCCATCAGAACCTTCTTGGGAATCTGACAGCTCTTGAGGTGCGTCAACTGTTGCAGCGTCAACAATTTCGAAGCCTAGCTCCTCTGTTTCTGATTCTAGCTCTGGAGTTTTAGGAAAAGGCAATTTACACTCTTCTTGCAACAAATACACCTTGATATCACGATAAGTGATCTGTCAAATTGAAAATCAAGTAGAACCGTCACTTAATTTAAGAAAACGTAGAATCAGAAGGAGGAGCAACTCTTGTCAAGCATGCATCGTGCATAAATGTAGACATGTTGGAACTGAGAATGATTAGATGATCAGTGCTCACAAGACCAAATCTTTATCTTAATTTAAAATGAATGTAAATTGGACAAAAACTGTGCAGCTAAGAAAGATAATGTTCAGGTGACTTCACTTTCAGATTTTTTCATCAGTCCCCGAGTGGATGTGGATACTAAAAAAGATTTGTACACATGGTAAACAGAATTCTCCACAGTATCACATAATTAAATAACAACCACCGCAATACTGTGAATAATGAGGAACTTGTATTTTATGAACTATTCCATGCTTACATGTTCAGGCGCTTGCTCTTTTATTGGCTTTAGTAGTTCTGTTGATCCAGCTCTTTCCACTGCGGCACGAACTGCCAACGCCGTCTCCCTTGTAAAGCCAACTTCATCGCAAAAACGGCCCCAATCAACTTCATAGCCTGCCTTAATGCAGTCACATAGATAAGAGATAACTGTATTCTCCAAAATCGGTTTTGGTCGTTCTGGTAGATTCTGGAAAAGGTCCCACATTCAAAATGTTTCGACAGTCAAATCCCTGCAACTGTGTAAAAACGGATTTCTAACCTCCACGAGGAAGCGTCCTATGTTGACGGCAAAGCCCACACAAACTAAGTTTTTTAAATAGCGAAACTACAGGGAGAAGACAAACATGTCGCATACTTGTTGATTTAAACCACGTTGAATTTCACCTAGGAAACTCCGAAATGCCTGATTCAGCACGAAGTTGTTGAAAACTGACATCTACCTACGATAATACACGTGAATGTAGTGAGGAACAAGCTGATGATAAATTAAGACACTATTGACTTTAGTCTTACAGCAATTTCAAGGAATGAAAGACCTTGCTCCTGCCACATTCTCCAAGCCTCTTCTTTGCCTGGTGATAATTTGGTAGCATCTCCGTTGGATGAATTCATCTTCCCATCCACTTTCGGCTTTGGCACAGTCGAGGGTTGGCTGGAGTTCTCAAAATCGTCAAGAGAGAGATTGAACTCCATTGAATGAGTTTTGATTGCATCAAGAATCTCCTTACCATGCCAGTTCACTAACCACTGCAGGAATAGTGCAAGGAAATTCAATACATTCAGCAGTATGTAGAATTGTAAGCGAACACTAATATAACCACAATAAGCGATAAAGGTTGCCTCTAGTGATGTACACTACGCTGAATGCACTGACAAACAAAGACTTACTGAAATAAGATATGATTACTTTACTTAGACCGCAATCTCTACCTGATTCACTCCATCAATATTTCGAAGTCGAGCTTCGGTAGATGGTCGCATTTTAGCAATTTTTTGAAGAGTACTCTCATTCAGGATTGCATAGCTGGAAAAATCACACAAAGCTAAACATAATGATCATGGCCAAAATCCACAGTATCAACGCTCCATCTCAGTAACAATTCCTTATCCTTGCTCAGCTTCATGTTCAACGGTTAAACACAATTGAGCATACCCGCTCACCATTCCAGTTCCAAGCAATTGACAGCACCACTGAAGAAAGGGAAAAAATAAATTCGGGAAATAAGCCATGATTTAACAAAAGATGTGAGGAATTAAAAGATCATACTTCAAGTAGCTGGCAGCAAAGAAAAAATAAGAAGCTTACGGTGATGTGGAGTTCCTCCTTGCTATATCAGCTCTCATTTCCATCAAAAGATGATAAAATTTTTGCTCTACCTGAGGAACATTACCACATGGACCATGCAATATGATAAATAGGTAGTTCAAGGTGAACTGCCCAAATCAAGCTATTCTTAACGAGTACTAATGAAGCTCTCTTTTGAAAAGTAAGGATGGTCTTTATTACGAAGAGCTATTGTTATAAGTCATTTTAGAAGACAAAATGCAAGAGTCATCAGAATCTTCGGAAAAATATGTTCAGAAATATGCTATCTCATGCAAGAATAATGAACATAACGAGATTTACTTGACTAGGAAATAGTTTGACAATTTACCACTGAAAATCCTTCACTTTGAAGGTGCATGTCCATGTTTGATTTTGGCAGAGGTAATGCTTCACCTCGCTTGGCATCCTCTAGTGCCATCTCCTGATTTATTGGTAACATCAGAGAAGAGATCAGTCCCATGTTGGAAGCTGACCACAAGAATTGATCACCTTTGTCTGCAACACTGAGAATAGCAAGACTAAAATGAGATCATAGATGCATCACATCACTATTTTCAAGAATACAAAGCGTAGGTCGCAAAATTCAACCACACAGGTACTGAGAATGAACTGTGCACAATGTCTGGGTCAATTTGAATATGAGGTTTGGATACTGTGGATACCAATTTGCCTGTTCTTACCAGTAACTACTACCAATCTGAGGATAAGACAACCACCATAAAGTCGATCTTAAGATGCAAAACAGGAAAGCATTCATATCTTCAAGGGGAAATCACACGTAGAATCCCAGACGGTGCAGAAGGTGACACCTTACAAGTCTGAAGTTATTGCCAGCCGTCTCCTTCAAATAACCTGGAAATCATGACGAAAAGAGATTATTCAACTTCAAATTACGTAAGCTTCAGCATTTCCTATGAGAATATGCATTATAGAAGGAATGTAGGCACTTGGGATAGGAAAAATACCATAAAAATTGTATGATACGTTCATGCTCACCTAAGCCAAGAAGTTGATCCGCCAAGGACTTCCACCAATTCTGGTTCCTACCTCGCCCTAATCCATGTACTGGTGATTTGTCGAAGCCGTTGTCTACCACTTTTTTACCCTGTCAAGAATTAAGTCCACGCAGTGGTATCAACAATGAACTTCATAAATTGTTGGAATCAGCAAGAGTAGCGTACAAAATTTTGTTCATCCAGGAAATGGGAAAAGAAACTAAGTCAGCGAAAGATCCGTAAAAACACGTCATATCCTACTCAGTGCATTAATTCAAAAGATAGAAGGTGCAAAGAACAAATAGAATATGCGAAGGACATAAATTCTATTCCCGTCTGCAATAAACAATAGAAATTGAGCGGAAAATTACAGGTATACAGCTGCAAGAACTACCAACAACGTATTCTAAATGTGAGGAAACTAATATGAAACCCCAAAAGAACCAGCGTTCTTGGATTTCTCAAAACATGCAACAGAATAACAGGATGTTTCAAAATAAAAAGCCAGAAGCATACCCTAGACCCTCGAAGCACATCTATGGGTACTCCAAGTCCAAAGTTCCCTCCACAAACTTTAACAGCAGATAGAAGGAGATGAGCCTCCTCAGCAAGATTTTGATATTGAATCCCTCCTGGCCTTACACAGTTGTCACAGTTTCCTGCAGTAACCATCGGGTAAGAATACAGGGGTTCTAGATTTCCATCACTAAGTATTTACCAGGAAAAATATATCCACGAGGCTTGATACTAACCACAGTTTTCAGCAGTAGGATTCTCGCCGAAGTATTTCAACAGAATGGAACGACGGCATTTCACGGTCGCACAATAATCCTTGGCTGCTGCATATGAGTCCAACACAGCTTGCTTTCTGACTGCCTGTTCGCAAAATTTCATATACAAGTTATTTAATGAAGCTATGTTGCTTTTCAAATTACTTCAAGAAGTCAACGTGACCAACTTCAAAGCATATTTAATCACTCATATTTTGACGAAAAGGCAATAATATGCTCACAGTAGTAAACCCAGCAGTGAAGAAATCACGCTTCGCGAAGTCACTCCTTGTATAATACATCCAACATTGAGATGGAAAACCATCTCTGCCACAACGACCACTCTCTTGATAGTACGCCTCCAAACTCTTTGGACAGCCGTAGTGTATCACCCGCCGGATGTCTGGCTTATCAATGCCCATTCCAAAGGCTACAGTAGCAACTACGATCTGCAACTCATCAGTTGAAAACGCCCTGCATGATTTCAGGCATTTAGTTCGAAAAGTAAGGCAACTAGTTGAGCGAGTTGTGGCAAAAGCTGGTTATGTCTTCAATATGAGAGTAAACTCAAAAAGTTGTAGCCTGGCCAAGAGATATAAGTTCGAAAGAAATCAATCAGTGCATGCACGGCATTTATCAAGTAGATGTAACGTATTCCAGAGTGGAAAAATGCCTTAAAAATGTAATAATTCCTAGTGCTGAAATTTGATTTCTCTGACATAAACTACTAAGATGTCGATGAGGATGAACCTGTGAACTTCAGTACGCAGCGTACTGCTCATCTTAGCATGATATGGTCTAGCATTTGCTCCTTCTTTTTGAAGAGCGTCAACAACCTGGAAAACGTATTTGTTATCCACCTAATGGCACTTCGAGATCAGGAAATATAATTCTATAATAGCGAAACACATGTGCTCTATCTTGAAGAAGGATAAGTCCGATGGAGATAACTTGAATATATAAATGATTGTAATATTAGTTTTTGATTAACCTCTTCAACATCTTTGATAGTTGTACAATAAATGATTGTCGACCCACTCTTTCCCACGTCTTTCAAGATCTCTCTTGCAAGCTCTTGCTTAAATGTAGCGGTGCGATTAAGGCCACTGACTCCATAGAATAAATTGGGCCGGTCAAATGACGATATTGCTGTGTAAGCATCTTGCAGATTCATAGATTGCACTATATCCTCTCGAACCCTGCTCAAAACTTGCCCACTTGAGCTGTGAACGCATTGAACTACCGATAAGGGGAGCACAGCACAATCGGTCAAGAACATGCCCGTCGAGGAGAATACATTAAATACTCAAAATAAGAGGCAAAACTGCTGCTACGTTTCTATTGTTCCCGGAATTAAATTGAGAGCAGCTATATCAAAAAAGGAAAAAGAAAAAAGAAGTTTTTATTTAACTATCGTATCCCTGAATCTACACTGAATTTAGTGATCACTCATTCTCTCCCCTGATATCTATGTGTGTGTGTATATATATATATATATATATATATATATATATAGAAAGAGATGAAGAACCAAACACTTACTTATGAGTGGCAGTTGCCGTGAGAGCAACAAAAGGTACCTTGGGTAGCATGGGCCTTAGCGCATCAAGGTTCTGATATTCGTGTCTGCAAAACAATTGACGATGTTCCTTGGCACCAGAAAAATCATGATTATAACGATAGGTATCCAAATCACTAAAAATGAATCCAAGAGCTGATACCTGAAGTCGTGGCCCCATTCAGAAACACAATGGGCTTCATCCACAGCCAATAGCGACACCCCTTTGCTGAGAAGTGCTGTCCAGAAACTGCACAATAAAATACAATAGTCCTTTGGAGATCTTAAAACTGAAAGGGCAGAGCCATGAGTACCAAGAAAGGAACCTGATTGACAAACTTTCTTTTTTATAAAATATTCTATTCGAAAATGAATGATATGACTGACCTCTGGGACACGGAACACGCCTTCTCAGGGGTCATATAAAGCAAATCATAATCCCCATTTTCCGCCCTACTGTTCACAGTTCTATCAGTCTGAGCACTGCCCATATATTCAGCGCGTATACCTCGTTGTTGCAAACCCATCACCTGCTCACCATCCACCATTCACACATCTTTCTGAGTTCAGAGTCAAAGTGAACACAAATATTAATGAATATCACAAATGATGTGAAAAAAAAGTGGAATCTTTGAACATGAAACAAAGAGCTCTACAATTTAAAGCGAAGGGAGCAAGTGCATACCTGATCTTGCATGAGACTGATAAGCGGGCTTACGACGACTGCGGTCTTCTTGGTAATTAGAGGTGGTAGCTGATAACTGACCACGTCAAGCAAGCTATTAACTACATGAGGTAAAGTCTTTAAGTGTACAAGGCTAAACACCTAGATATGATATTGTTACTTTAAACCACAATACGAACACGCAGATAATAGAATGTAATCGGCGTCAAAAATCATACAACATTGCGCTGGCGACGGCATTGTTGATTACCAGATAGACTTCCCGCTGCCAGTGGCCATAATCACCAAGCAGTCCTTTCCTTTCAGAATTTGTGAGACAACCTCTTTCTGAAATGGACGAAACGAGGTGTAGCCAAAAAATTCCTGCATGTGGCGGACCAAAGTTTACTTACAAATACGTTTCCACAAAAATTGTAGACCATATCTTACAGCCTGACCTACAAGCAGAAAGAGGAGATTCTCCCTATCAGCTTGCAACCAACCTAAGGTGAGGGCATCTTCAGATCTTCTTAAAAGCGTGAGGGGTACACTTCAAACAAAAGACTCGTTGCAAATTCTTCATCAAGAAGAGAGTTGGTTAACATTTGCGTGCGTACGATTCTCCCTAGAAAAATTGGTACATGCAAACATTGGGTGAATTAAATCGACTCACCTTGAGGACACGCTCCATGGCTTAGATCGCCAGCAAGTGCTCGAGTCGCAGCTGAAAGTCCTTGCAGAAGAGGGAAACGAAAAAAACAAAAAAAATAAAAATAAAAATAAATCTCCCACTCTGACACAAAGTCTGTTCCTCATGAACCATCCAATTACATCTACTCGTCAATTGTGCGTATCAAACGCATTAGTCGATTTCAAGCTGGGTGGATCACCAAGAGCGATCGCGTCGACGAAGCAACACAGAAAATTTGAATCTCTGAAACCTCCGTGACAGCAGCCAATCCCAGAGTAAGAAAACGGCGCACCAGGAATTCAAAGCCCAGAATTATCATTACATGCAATGCAATGCAATGCAACGAAGCCGCCAGTTCCAACCCAGAGCATCATCGTGCACAATTGGCAGGCAGTACCCTACACGACCGCTGGGAAATGAAATGTCCCGAGCCCTCCCCGTCCTCTCGTTCCGTTGGAATAATAGCCATTTCCAGCATCGCCGCCGTCCCCTCGAATCATCGTCGAAGCAAGTAAAGTCTCTGTAAAACCTCCCCTCCCCTCACACACACACACTAGTTTCTCTTTTTAGGGTTCATTCCATTCTATCTCCTTTTTCTTAGCATGTTCTTCTTAGCTGTATTCTACATTTTTGTGTGGTTTGATTGGTATATATTTCATTGATATATTTTAAAATGTGTATATATATATATATATATATATATATACATAGGGGAATGTTAAAGAGATTTAAGTTTTTACTAAATCAACCCACTCATCTTAACCATCATGAAAAAAAATAATGATTTCTGGATTCATGTCTTCATTATTAGACCTCCAATCACTAAAAACTAACCACATTCATAATGATTTCCATATTCTTTATTAAAGGTGGGTCTATTTAGTAAAAGCATAAGTCTAATTAACATTCCCTTATTTATTTATTTATATATATATATATATATATATATTTGTTTTAGAGGTATTTTATTTTTAATATTTAAAATTTTGAAAATCATAATGATCTAGCTACAACCAAGGCATTATTATCTTTTAATAATTAGCATGGTTATGTTGTTGTCAATGTTAATGTTATGGAAGATGGATCCATAATAGGTAAAATTTAGGAATTTATGTAGTATGTAATTGGTAGTACAACACACATTAACTACTTAAATGTTATTGTGATAGATTTTTTTTTTTAAACATTATTAATAATTTTCTTTTTTAAAATTGATGATAGTTTAGTTGATGTATTTTTTTGAATGAGTTGGTTGTAAAAATGTAAATTTTCATTCTATTCTACATATAAATATCTTTTAAAACTAAACTCAATAGATTTGGTAATTTTTAATTTATTTTTTTAATTTAATTTTTTAAAATAACTTTAAAAATATTGAGTCTTATATTTGGTCTTCTTTCATCCAATATTTCTTGGTATTTTATAACTTATATTTATGATTTGGAAGTATTATGTCATTAGAGGAATTTTGATTATAAATAGTTATTATTATTACTTTAGTTGATTTAGAACTTCATTTGTAAATGTTAACTTTTTTGATCAATTGAATTCTTTATTGGCTTTTAATTGCATGTATACTTCATAATCTATGATATATTAAAGAATTTTCTTGATACTTGAAACTTTTGTCAACTATACTTAATTTGTTAGTACACATAGTATACTATTTTATTCATTTCAAAATGTTGTTGAAAAAAATAACCTTGGTTATTTATGGAAAAATATCCTTTACATGTTGTTATTTATTCTTTTTCCTTTCTTTTCTTTAGGATACAATCTCATATAAGCTAAAAAATTCTTTAAACTTTGGTGATTTATATTTCTAACTCCTAAAATTGTTACGATTAAAATAATAATTACTTATACCATAGTTATTTTTTCTCCAAAATCCATAAGGATTCTATTTGTATTTTTGAGAATATTGATCCAAATTAGATAGATGGTTGTTTGTGCCATAGCTTAATTCAATTGGAGTAAACCATGTTTTTTTCTAATTTTATTTGTATATTTTTAAAGCACTTTGGAATATTAATTGTTAAATATGTTAAGTCTAAAATTGAATTAATTTTATGCAAATTTTTTATATATTATGATATATCAATAAGACCTACTTGAAAAACTTATGTTATAGATCATAAGCTATGTTGATTGGATAAGTTATAAATACCATCAAAGAAGCATTTACAAAATTCTTTTTCTTTAATATAGTTCCAAATATAATCTTGTGATATTCAATTCTTGTATTTGCCTTTGAGTCCTTACTCAAATGCTAAAACATAAGCATATAGACCATAATTTTCTTTATACATTTGGTAATATGCAATCTTTTTAAATTTGCATCTAATAATATTGATTTCTATTGATGGATAATATGATAGATAGTTTGGAACACATGTAAATTAATGGACTACTCATACTGATCCTTCTGGCATTTTAAGTAGCATGATTGGTGCTTCTTCAAATATCATATCATGATATGAGTGTATTCTTGTACTAAATGCTTTAATTATCATTAAATAAATGTTTGTAGGTTGAATACATATTAGATCAATTCTACTATTTTGATATATTTTAGATTATTATCTTTAATGGTCCAATCTATTCATAGTATTTACACCAATTGGTATGTAATAAGTAACAATTTCTTGTATTAGTATGGATATTATATTTAATTGGTAGTTCAATTGATTTAATTAGTTCACTATTATAAATTTTCAAATAGCAAATTTTGGTCTTTTTGTCCTTAATTTAGTTCTTCTACTTTCTAATGGTTCAACCAAATAGACTTCTATGTATGAATTTCATTGAATTGGTTTTTCTACTTAAATGGATTTTAAATTTAGCACCATGGTTTTTCTTGTATATTTATAATAGTCAATATATTCTATTAGACTAAAATCTTAGGTATGGTACAAATAGAAATAACTCTTTGTCATACTTAAAGTCTATTTAGATTATTTTGATTTTCTTTCTTATTAAGATATTTTTCTTACAAAAGTCAACAGTAAAAATCCTTTAATAATTTTTTATTCTCTATATTTTCTTACTATTTTTTAATTAAGTATATATTTATGTGTTTTCTTAATTTTCTATATATGCTAATAATAAAAAAATCTTCAATAATTACTTCTTGATTAATTATTCTTTATTCTTCTTATAATACTACTCTTGAAGAAGCTTGCATTATAAATTGTGGATCCTCTTTCATAATGTTGTTTATAGAAATTATGTCTTTAAAGCAATAATGTTGTATTTCCGACCTTACTTTTTTGTTGCTAACTTAGTTTTGCATCTCTCTTGAGACATTTGTGTATTTTTTTTGTCTTCTAATTTCTTTCTGCTTGTAATTTTAAATTTTCCTTATCTTTTTCTAATACTATGTTTTATATGTATATGATTTTGGTTATAAATAACTATATATATTTATAATATTAATATTTATACTTTTTTTAGATCTATAAATTTCTATCTTCAAGTATTTTTAAGAATCTCTTATTTTTCTTTTCTAGTTTAATTAATCTCTATCTATTCTTGTAGGTGGTTTCTATTGTTGATTAGCCATGTATATCTATTATATATATATATATATATATATATTTCTCTCTACAAGCATTGATTTGATCTATGCAATTTATGTTTTGGTTAAAAACAAAATTCTACTAGATCAATCCTTTTAATTTTCTTTGTCTAAACTTCTTCTATTTTTTCAAAAAATATTTTTGAATTTCCTTACACACTCTCTTAAAAACCAAGGTCATTTTGAAATTGTATGAAAAAAATTGAAATTTTAGACTTGAGATTCTATCAATTCTAACAAATTAGTTGAGTGTTATCTTCTACTTCTTCTTCTTGCTTAGAAGTTGTCTTCAGCAAGAGTAAGAGCCACCAATGATATTTTCCCTACTTGTAATATTATGCACCAAAAGTAGAACATCAATATCTTATGGAATGTTTGTATATGTATTGTTACAAAAAGTAGAATGCCACTTTGATATATCTTATGGAATGCATTATAATGTAGTTATGGATGGATATATATATATATATATATATATATAAGTTAGTAGTGTAGAAAGTTCTAAATTGCATTATGAAAATTGTTGGTTAGTAGAACATCAATATCTTCCATAAGATATTGATGTTCTACTTTTTGTGATAATGCACACACAAGCATTCCATGAGATGTATCAAAGCAACATTTTACTCATTCTACTTTTACTTTTTGTGACAATGCACACACAAGCATAATTATTTATAACAAGTACCATTATTATACAATTGTATAGAATTCAGAGTTTTTCTACTCAACATGTATGGTGCCACCTTTGGTAACTGGTAACTCAGCATCTATTTTAGCATGAAGTAATCATATAGATTCTTGATCTCCCTTCCAAAATATTTCATCTGCAAGTTTTCACATGAAATGAAAATGTTCAACCATTACATTAAAGAACCAAGCAACGCGAAGAATAATTGTGTTCAAAAAGACATGCACGTAGGCTGAACACCAGGAGAGAACTCCACCCTAGTGAAGTCCTCACACGCTGTGAAGGCACACCTTGTTGGACTACAGCCCTCTGCATCGCGTACCTCCTCTGGTATGAGGCTCTCGCCCGGAACCTCTTTCCTTGTCCCATGCAAGGCATACCAAGCACAACACAAGCGACACCAACACATGACATCATACGAAGTCGAGAAAAGATGTACATTGAGCTACCCTCTGCACGAGGACCTGAATACTAGGTAAATAATCTATTACATGGATTCAAAGAATATTTCCAGAAAAATTTAAGTGTCAATCTTTTCTTATAGGGATAATGATGATGATGGAGAAGTACACTGCCCACTTCAACCACTGCCTAACGCCCCTGCCTGCACAATCTGCCTAAAAATAGGGAACGGATCCCAGAGGTTGGATGCGGAGGAGGCGGCTTGAGCATTCTATAAAGACAAACGGGTTCATATACAAGGTCATCCAACCCGCAAATTAAAGCACTACAATCACTTTCCAGAACTGCAGTGGCAGCACTTCTCTTGCGCTTCATCGTCTAATATTAACAATACCTGCCCTCACAGCAGATAATACATGCACGGATTAAGGTAGGAATAAAGACCCAAAAAGCTTAACAACCAATGAGGACACTCAAGTAGCAATGACATGCACAAAGTAATCGTTCGTCATAAACATCCACTGAATAGAAAACTATCAACGTCCCAAATCGCCACAGCATGTCCAACGACCTTTACTGCATCCCAAAAGAAAGAAAAAAAAAACAAAAAAAAAAAAAAAAAAACAGAAAAACAGAAAAACTACAGAATAATGACACAGACCAAGCAAATGCAGTTAGAGTGAAACGCACCTTGAACTCTACAATCGCCTTCTCCATGAGATGATCCCTATGCTTAGCCGACAAATGCCCACATGCTACATCATATGCAGTTCTGAAGCTACATTCCATCATCCCATTCCGATTCCCATTGCGGGCACCAAGTCCTCCAGCCGGGACCCTACGTCGTTTCTATCTACGTGCATCCCACCCAGGTCTCCATCCCCTCGGTCCACGTCTCCCATCGCGGACCCGTCCGATCTCAATCCCGGTGCTAGTGCTGCCAGGCTCCATCCAACATCGCTCACTCTTGCCCCCATTGCATGTATGTCATGACTATCTTCCTGCACACCACGATTGATTCGTTTAGTCGCAACGCGCTAAACCAACTCCGTCCCCACAAAGATATCACCACTCGTACATACAAAATAAACACAATGAGAAAAAATAAACCCCCCGTGGATTCAAAGCCGGGTTGGGTCTGGTTTCGCCAAATTCTACACAATCTACTGCAGACGAGTCACCCCAATACTGCAGATTTCTCTGGGTCTCCTTCTGAGCAACCCCCGCCCCCCTCATTGCCTTCGAGGATGCTCCATCCTCAGATCTACACTTCGGCCCACCCCACGACGTCACATCAAAAGGCCAGAGTCAACACAGGATACTGACCAGCACGCCTTCCTCCAACGAGTGCTCGTTCTCGTGCGGAGCGTGGTAAATGGAATGCGATTCCCTGCTATCCAGGGGCTTCAACAGCTTCGGGTAGTGCATCCCACCCGCCAATGCCTTCCCCATCGATCCCCATTCTCTTGGGTCCCCTTCAACATCTTGCTCATCCCTTTTCCTTCTTCGCTTCCTGCCTTTGCTCTCGTCCGGCTTTCTGGGCAACTCACCACCGATTGCAGTCCCTCTCTCCAAATTCAGATACAACTCCTTCACCTTCTCGGCCACGATCCGTGGTAGCGCTGCTTGCGGTATGGCTGCAAAACAAATCCACCCACACCAAACATCAGCCCTTCTACAGTATTCCAGCTCTCCGCAACTCCCCAAATTTGTCCACTTTCAGAGACTATGCAATCCAGCCACTGCCAACTGCCCATCGGAGACGCAATCCAAAACTCAACATTCTGATTACTTTCGATTCCCACTGGTCCATCCGTACCCATCACGTCTGTGACTACAACACGTCCAACTCATACAGAATGGCAGACGAGTAAACTCGTCCCACCAAAATCCTCACCCCGGCCCGTGCCCTCGCAACGTTGCTTTCCCAAACACATCACCTCCTACAAGCCATTCACCTCCCTATACACGACGTAAAGAACACAACGCTGCGCTGTCGCCCATTCCAATAGTGGTTGCACGCCGTTGGGACGAGTAGGTAACATAGTCATGAACTTCCTCATGCTGATAACTACCAACACCTGCGTTCACGCTCAGAATCCTAACCCTGCTGCTTGACAAACTGCGCGAGTCCAGCTATCCCCGATCCTGAACCCTGTCAAGGTACGCGCGCGCCCACGACAACAATCTTCTTGAAACATCTTACCACCTGCTAGAACTTGGTAAAGGCAACTACCGCAACTCTATGTCACAATCTTTCAGCCGCCCCGTGGATTTTCCATACATAAGTCAGGTCGGGCCCATGTGGAGAGCATCATCCCGCAAATGTGAGCGCGCATGTCATCCTTGTCGAACAGAAACTGCTCCTGGTCCTCAATGCACGGTTTGAAAAGGAGTTCCCAGAGCTGCGCCAGCCAGACTGCCCTCCGTCCTGCTCTCGTGTTACACCTTGCAATCACGAACCTAACTCTACGCACACCATGGCGTCGGTAGGACACCGGATGTGGAATGAACATCCTTTTCGCCTCTGCGCAGCAAAACTCGCATTCAAAGTTCACACGCATCACTGGCTTTCCAGGTTCTGCTGGTCCACCGCCCTCCCTCCACTACAACCCCACACACACCAAACCCACATGCGTGGCCCTCTCTTCCTGAAAAGCACTTACATTGATTGGTGTCTTGGACGACTCGAGCCAGTTCCTCCCAGGCACTGCCCAGTTGCGTCATCAGCCCCGAAATGTGCACGACAAGATTGTAGGTCTTCGTGTTCCCTTCTTCGATGCTCGGGGCGCTGATCATGCGACGATCCACGGACGCGGTCACGCGACCAAGTGGTTGATAACCTGCCCTTTCAGTCAGCCATTTCCGAATCACGCGACCGCTCGGCAGATTGATGTTGTCCTTCTCTTTGTGTACAAACTTTCTGTGCGTGATCCAATGCTGCCGATTCGACAGCGACTTATTCTTGTCTACGCAAGGCGGAAGCAAACAGAAGTACCGCTCCTCGTTGTCCACCACTCGGACGTCGAACTCCCGGTACACCTCGCTATTCAGGTCTGGCTCCACGGCCATGGGGACGGAGTTGCAAAAAAAAAACTACACGCTTTACTTTGATAACCAATGGCTTTCTTGGTCGTCTGCACCAATCCGAAATTAAGTGAGGCAGCTCGTGCCAGGGATAGAGCGCAGGCAAGATAGGAGCGAGGAGAGGCAATCGCAAAGGGAAACAGCAGCGAACACGGCGGCACGAACGACTAAAGATGCAGCGGAGATTCGAAAAGGAAAATGCACAAGGCTATGGCAGACGAAATCAACGCGAGCAGAACAAAACGATTCGGGAGAGGTCAACGGAAGGACGCCGTAAGAGATGAGGGCAAACGAAAAGGGGCGAGGAGGAAAGGGCACAGAAACAGGCAGAAGCCACGGAAGAAGGAGGAGCAACCAAGAAAGAAGAGCAAAGAAGAGCTCACGAAGAAAAGAAACCCGCAGGAGCACCAGGAAAAAAGAAGAACCGGGCACTAATGCAGAAACAAAATGAAGGAGCGGAGCAACAATCGCGAATGCCAAAATTCAGCAAGCGCCATTCAGATCCCGCGACAAAAAAGTGCCGGAGGGCGAACGCACCACGAATCTCAAAGGCACAACATTCCGGCACCAATACCGAGAATCGCAGGCGCAGAAGCGGAGGCAGGCAGAAGAGCGAGCCACCGAAGCAGGAAACGGCTACATAACTGTCCGATGACGCGAAACCTGCCATCGACCGCAATTGCGCCAAACCCCTCACACACGTGCACGCGCCCAATCTTGGCACAACCCAAAAACCCTCGGGCACAAAACGGAAGTCCGCCGAAGCACGCGACGCTGCCTGCAGCAATGGGCCAAGCAAAGCAAAGCAAAGCAAAGGGATCATCCGGGGCGGGGGCGAACAAACCTGGCACGCAGCAGCAGCAGCAAGACGGCTCGCTCGCCGACGCACTCGGCCCTCCAAAAGCAACGCAATTTCTCGGCTGTCACGCCTCTCTCACTCCATCCGCCTCTTCCCTCGGCCCTTCCTTCCCTTCCTTCTCATTCCGCGGCTTCGCGCGCGCGCGCGCCCGATGATTGCAAAGAGCGAGGGAGCGTCGTCCCAGAAACAAAGAAGTGCCCCACAACCCACACTTCCATGGCCCCTCCCCCTCCCCTCACTCACTCACTCCACTCACTCCCGTTGCTTTTCCGACCCCTCCGTCTCTTCTCCTTGATCCCTCCCTCTTCGTATTGCTACCTCCTCCCCATCTCTCCTCTTCCCATTCTCTTTCTTGCATCCTTGTCTTCACCAATTTTACTTCATGTCATCGCTCTCTCTCTCTCTCTTTCTACACCACATTCTGCATGCTTGTTTCCAGGTCCGCCCTTGTTCTTCCTCGGCCTTTTCCAACAAGCAAAAGTTTTCCTCCCTCCATTCATCAATTTATCATTCCAACAAGATGCATATACCTCCACAACAACAACAACAACAAATACTGCATGTATACCATGTCTATATATATATATATATATATATATAAGTCAAAGTATTAATATCTATTAGAGCTTTGATTAGCAAATCACAAGCCTATACTTAGATGATTTAACAACTAATAGTTGAAGAGAGAAAGTTGACATCATAGTTTTGGTGAGTTAATTTAGCATTAAGATTCTAATTAATTAAGATAAATTTGCAACTTGCAATTTAATACAATTTTGAAATCAAACTAGAATAATAATAATTTTTTTGCACATGGACCACTTCTAATAACACCAACAAGTTGATGAATACCCTCTTTGGCATCTTTCTCCATATTTATGCAGTCAATTAATTTATGATAGATAGAATAAAATATTTGTTTGATTATTAGTACTAGCAAGATTGCTATCATTAATAGCATTCTTTTTCTCTTCTTTATATTTCTTCTCAGCTAATGGATCAAGTCTTTAAAGGCAATATAAAAAATATAATCACTTGTTAGAAATTATATTTGGAAAAATACTTTAGTCTTAATTTGATACATGGTTTTGTAAGACATGTATTGCAAAGAGTGATGCAAAGGTGGACTTAGAATAATTAATCTAAAAGAGGCTACCAAAGCTTTATTGACTATATGAATTATAAGAGCCTTATATTACCTAATAATGCCAATGTCTTTCTAAAGAATAAGATTTTGAAAAACATTGGAAGATTCAACATTTTTTTAAAAGTTGTTGAAGTGGCTCTAACAAAGAATCTTAAAAGTGAAGGATCTATTAGAATGAACATGTTTTATAGTTTAGTAAGTAACATCTCTTTCTATCCTAAATCTTATTTTTGGACATGAAGCAAAGAATTAATGACTTACTTTGCTTAACTTTGAAGAATGCTTTTGCAAAACAACATGTCTATCATCAAGCCTACAATTTACAAATAGAATATCATATGTAATCAAGATTTCTCAATGAATTGGGATGACATATGAACCATACCTATTCTTGTGAAGAAGTTGTATTTACATAGTATATATGGCATAAAGACATTGTAATTAATACATGGCAAAGCAAAGTTAGTCCTTTCATTGATTTCAATTACAAAGTGCATTCTATCCTTTAGTAAAAAAACTATTCTCTATAGATTTTGAAAGTAACCTCAAGCTTGGAGAATCCAAGATTGGCCTACTTCTTTTTTATGTAAACTAACTTTGAATCCTTAAAAATATGGACCTTGAATTGATTTCTTATAGAAATAAGTTATATTTGCAAAGACTACTCTTCTTTGATCTAGATCTTTTTGCAAAATTTGATCATTGCTAAGAAATCTCTACTTATGGATTCAAAGGAATAAACTTGTGTTTAAAAATAAAGTATAGAGTGACCTCTATACTAGAACTCTACTTTGGCAAGGTCTTATAAAGTATGATAAACTTAGTTGGAAATTCTTGATGAAGAAAATAGATACATTTGAAACAAAAGACTCTCCTTCTTAAAAAATGGAATAAATTTTAGATGGAAAAAGAGATGTTAGGCTTTAAAGAATAGATAGAAAATAAGTAGAACTTCTGAATACCATAGTGTTGTATGATAATATATGCTAGAAGAATAGTTTTAGAAGTAATAATAATTATTTTGTGATATATCCTTACATTGATCTTCTTAAGTATAAATAAATTTATTTTTTATTATATATGATTCACTAGTAAAATAAATAATTAAGGATTGAATATTATTAGTATTAAAAAATGGTTTCAAGAACATTAAAAAAGAGATGTTTAAGAGGCGATTTAAAAAAATCTTATCATATCTCTATACAAAATATTTTGGATCCAATTTTAAAGAAAAATTATTGAATTATGAAGTTATAATATCTTTAGGAGGTTCTTCATTTATTTTTGAAAAAAAAAATACAATAGCAAACTACTATAGAATATATAATAATACAAAATGTAGAAATTTAAAAGCCATGAATTGTTTTTGGTGTTAGAAGTACTTGACAATTTCAAAGACAATATTTAGAAGAATATTAAATATATAAAATAAAAAAGTAGAAAAGGCATACATATTGAGACTATAGTAAGAAGATCTATATTTTAATATGATAAATAATTATCCTTAAAGAAAAAAATATAAAAAATATTTATGAATGTTAAGAATTTAACCAACATATTATTTAAAAGTATATTTTTTTTATAGTTATATCATTTTATTAAATTAAAAAGTTTATAGATTTATATTAATTTAATTAAAGATATATCATTCTATGTCTTAGTCTAATAATATACAAATGACCTTTTTTGTATCATATTAGCTGAATTCCTATTGTTGTTATGGAAAATATGCAAAAATAGTTCATAATAGAGATTGGATATATTTCCAATAATAAAATAATAACAATAATAATAATAGATATGTTTAAATATAAATATATATATATATATATATATATATATATATACTTTTAATGAATGTTTTTTTTAATTAATGACAACACATACTTATGTTATTTTAAAATCACTATAGTATCATAATTAGAATAGTTGATTAATGAAAATCTAAACATGAGATGATTTTTGAAAATTTTAATAAATAGAAGTGATTGATCCAATGAAAATTCCTATTCTATCAAAAACAAAATCTCTTAATATTATTTTGAATAAAAATTATAAATCCTAAAGTAAAAGCTTATAAATGAATCATTATATTAAAAAGTATTGACTTAGTTATTTGTTCTCTCACTCACAAAAACTTAAACAATTAATCGAGCCATAATATAAGATTAAAATTAACCATCAAAATGTATTCTTTGATAACTACTTCATTTGACTAAAAAAATTATATATTTTTTATATTATTTAAAAATAAAAAAAAATCCATAGAATATGTGGATCATTTATTAGTTTATTCTTCAAATGCCTTATTAACCTTACCACAACAAAGAAGAATATACTTATTTTTTTAATATCACCTCTTGCTTATGATATAACCTACTTTAATTCATCTAATGCCAAAATATTTATCTATTCAAATAAGCATAAACCTTCATCCATCTAAGTATATTTGTTCATCATTCAAAAAAGATAGGTTGCAAAGGCAACAATAGCATGGAGCTACTATTGTTGCTAAACCAATGCATCTAATATTATCTTCTTTGCATTGCCATTGCCATAGCTTTATATGAAATTCAAGGATTTTATATTCTAAAGCAGCCTTAAGAACTTGCCTCATTGCCATTTGCATTTTCATTGGCATAATTAGATATTAAGGTCAAACATGCACCTTTCAAAATCCAATGTATTTTGCACTTCTTCCTTCACCGCTCATATCTTGTCAAAAAGAGGTTGTGACTCCATGTAACTTGGATGTCGGACAACTTGCTTGTACATTAATTATCCTAAATATACCTACAACAAGATATTTAAAACTATTTCTATTACAATATTGCATAAACTTACAATAATTCATAACTATTTTAGCTTGCAATGCAAAAGTTAAAATTGAAGAAAATATTAAGAAAAACTTGATACTCCAAATTTTTAGAGAGTGTATAAATTGCACCTTTATGGCTTTTTCAATTGCTAATGTAAGATATAGCTCACATGGAAGAACTACAAATGCATACCAAAAATTCAAGAAATCTCAATAATACCAAATTTTGGTTAATCAAACTCAAAGCTTAAAACTTACATTATTCTTAATATAAATTGCATGCCTAAAAGCACATAATAATCTAAAGCATCCTAATTTTGGTGAAATCAAATATACTTCAAAAAATTGAAATTCTCTACTTCAATTTAACCATAAAGAATAACAATCTAGTCAATTGTTGTTCTACTATGAATTGAAATGTGTTCTTGATCTATTTTAAAATCTATTTTAAAATCACCACTATGTGGCAATATAATTTATAATATGTACCATAGATTTAGACAATTCATAATATAAGTATTTCTATACTGAAAAGAGACATATTTGAGCTATAATCTAAGTGTCTTTTTCAAGAATAAGAACTTGATGAAAGAAAATAAACAAATATAAAAAATAAAAATAATGAAGTATATATATTAAAAAGAAATTGGAATGGCTATTGCTAAAAAATAAGAAAAATAGAGACTCTTGAATCTTGATTAGAAGCAAGAAAGAAGTTGATAAGAGTGAAGAAGGCTCCATTCTTGCATCTATAAATATATTATCTAACTAAGTTCTATGTGGTGATGTTCTTTAGGATCTCTAATATGTTGACTTTGCAGAACACATGCCTTAGCTTATAAGGCAAGTTTTCTATGTGTGCGCCATATAATTAGCTTGATCTTCAAGCTATCAATATGTATGATACATGGCTAACTTATTGACCATGTTTTCAACCTAAAAAGTTAGTTATAGGCATCTATAAAGTCAAAGCAGCATCTATGAAGCTTCTAAGAAGCTTTTATAGAAGATATTATGGAATTAATCTATTTTTATTTATTTTTATCTAATCATATAGGTAATTATTGGTTTATATGTATATGTCTGTGACATTATTCCTTCTTTTAGGGACAAGTTACACAAGGAGTGGTCATCATATGTTGAAAAAATTGAAGATGTGGCAAATTGTATTTGCCACATATTTTGATCTTTGTTTTATTCAAAATAATTAATAGGGTCTCTCAACCATTGATAGTATTCTATATC